AAAAAAAAAAAAAAAAAAAAAAAAAAAAAAAAAAAAAAAAAAAAAAAAAAAAAAAAAAAAAAAAAAAAAAAAAAAAAAAAAAAAAAAAAAATCAATAAAATAAAAAAATATGAAAAATGGGTGCCTCATGATTAGACTGATCTGCAGAAAGAAACGCGTGTTGAAACTTGTGTTGCCTTATTGAATCGATACAGAAGTGTAGGAATATTGGATCGAATTGTGACATGTGATGAAAAGTGGGTTCTTTACGATAACCGTAAGCGAAAAATAAGCGGCTTGGCTCTGCCCCTGACATTGCTGACGTCCATGAGCGACGGTGACCAATTACCATCAGGCGGGCCGTATGCTCGTCTGCCTACAAAGGCAATAAAAAAAGAAGGTCAAACGCCGCAACAGCAAAGCTTACCAATAAAAAGGTAATGGTAACTGCTTGGTGGTCTCAGCATGGTGTTATTCATTATAGCTTTCTCCGATTTGATCAAGCAATAAAGGCAGACGTCTACTGTGCCGAACTCCGAACAATGATAGCAAAACTTGCAGTGAAACAGCCCCGACTCATGAATCGATCTTCACCGTTGTTGCTCCATGATAACGCGAGACCTCATACAGCCCGAAAAACCATTTTCCCAACGGACTACCATTTTTTCGTGATTTGGACAATTTTCTACGTGATAAAAAGATTTCTTCCTAGGAGGCAATACAAAATGCTTTCACATAGCTTGTATAGAATCTAGATCACTAGATTTCTATAGCAAAGACATAAATGATCTTCATATTAGATGCATGGCAGCAATTTATAGATAATAAAATGGTAGATAGTTTGATTAAACAATTATGTTAAATTAAAAAAAAACGAATTTCAATTTTTCAGTACAAATCGTCAATTTCATTCTTTAAATCCTAATAAAATATTTTAGACAGCGGTTTGACTAATCACCACCGACGATCACCGCTCACGTGGCGTTCACCCCGCCTATTTCTGCCGTGAAGCAGTAATGCGTTTCGGTTTGAAGGGTGGGGTAGCCGTTTTAACTATACTGAGGTCTAAAAACTTATGTCTCAAGGTGGCTGGCGCATTACGTTGTAGATGTCTATGGGCTCCAGTAACTACTTAACACCAGGTGGGCTGTGAGCTCGTCTACCCATATAAGCAATAAAAAATAAAAACTTTCCAACTACTTGCATATTTGAGTTAACTTTTAGGTTATGGAGAATGTTAAAAAAGTCGCATTAAGCGCACTGATGTAACCGAGCAACAAAATATTAATATGCCGCCGAAATATGCCGAAAATACGTCACGATCCTCTTTTGATAATAAGCGGTGTTTCAATTGTATTGAATAATGCCTATTCCGCCATTCCAACCGAAATGCAAAATGCACGTAGCCGCAGAGATACGTAGGCGATACTTCTGTTTCTCTACCTATTCGCTGGTTTCCTAAGAGGCTATTTCAGCCACGCCCGGACGGGTAGGTGAGCTCACGGGCTCAAGAGCTTCCTGAGAGCCTCTCCTGAGAGAATTTGCTAACACTAGCCCTAGCAAGAGCAGTGCTTCGTAGAATCTACCACCGGATCGGAATCGCGACCCACTGAGAAGATCCGGCGAGAAACTCAGTGGGCTGTGTCTATGGCTTAGTTCGCTCGTCGAACCCTTCCTCGATGAGTTCGATAGGGAATGGCGGTACCTATCCATGCATGCGCATAATACACCCCACTACCAGTAGTTATATTTAAAAAAAAAACAGAATGGTGAGAAAGATATATATAAGATACGTATTTACTAAACAATTGAGACCTCAAGTCTCAAGGTGGCTGCCGGTATTCACGTTGTAATGACTACGGGCTGCGGTATAACCATTTAGCATCCAGCGGGTCGTGAGCACGTTGAGCCTATGCAATAAAAAAAAAAAAGTAATGAAGTTGTCATTCTTTGACATCAAAAAAGTAAGAAACCCTCATTCGATATTGTGCCCAATTCAATTTTATGATCATAATAATGTATTTTAAATATAAATATAAATAATATTCTCTTCTTTAAATATAAATAATATTCTCAACCTATAGAAATTTTGTTTGCTTCATTTAAAAAAGATACGATACAACAATAAATTTCATTAATATTTAATTTACCCACAAAAAAAAAGTAAAAAATCACGATAGTAAATTATATTTTAATGAACGGTAAAACCCAATTTCTTTTACAGTAGCTTTATTATAAACGTAGCGATTGTTTTAAAGTATCGTTAATTTTCTCAACAGCTCTGACTTAACCATAGAAAAACAGTGATATCTACCTTCCCCCGTAATTTTGATTGTATATCTTTGTTTAAATGGTACAAAAAAAAAGAAATTGGGGTGTTAAAAATAAGCTTAGAAGAACATACCTTCATGTTTTTTTTGTTTGAATGCGAGCGATAATCAAAATCGGGCGATATGCTGCAACATGCACTTGGTTGAGATCAACAGAACAATACGACTATGAGCTTATGACTTGAACGAGCGTGTCGGAGTGAGTGTCTTTAACTATCTACCGAGTATTGCTGGTATTGCCGACGACACTGTAGTAATAATTGTCATCGATACGAGATACAGCAATATCGAATCGATTTTCGTTCGATCGGGTCGCGAGTTGCATGCGCGTTGACGAATGTAGGTACTCATCGTTTTGAACAAAACAAATGATCGAGTCACTATTAAAACTTAAGTTTTTATGCCGATTCGCAGAACAATAGGTATGGTAGGTTCGTCTTGTTTTAGTGGGTAAATGTTCCTTGGCTTTTGCATCACGAATTGTGTGTCACCAGAACAAATAATAGTAATCATCAAGAAGTGAAAAACAGTTTTAGGAGTTCCCTTTTTGTTGTTTGATTTCCAAAAAATAAGTACACCTAAATTTTGTAACATTTTACACTACATTTTACATTTTAACATTTAAGTATTATAGCAAGTATTTTCTCATGATTATGTAGGAGATTGGATTGAAGGAGTACTTTTATTTATTGCTTAGATGGGTGGACGAGCTCACAATCTACCCGGTGTTAACTGGTTACTGGAGCCCAAAGACATCTACAACGTAAATGCGCCACCCACCTTGAGATATAAGTTCTAAGGTCTCAGTATAGTTACAACGGCTGCCCCGCCCTTCAAACTGACACGCCTTACTGCTTCACGGCAGAAATAGGCGGGGTGGTGGTACCTACCTGTGCAGACTCACAAGAGGTCCTACCACCAGTAATTACCCAAATTATAATTTTGCGGGTTTGATTTTTATTACACGATGTTATTCCTTCACCGTGGAAGTCGATAGTAAACATTTGCTAAGTACATATTTCATTAGAAAAATTGGTACCCGCCTGAGATTCGAACACCGGTGCATCGTTCAACACGAATGCACCGGACGTCTTATCCTTTAGGCCACGACGACTTAGACTAGACTATAAGCCCACTCGAATAACTCCTACTACCATATACTGTGACGCAGCTATGCGTTCCCGTTCAGATGATTAGGCGCTCCGGTAATCGCTTTAAGTCAGGTTAGCCATAAACTCTTGTCACCAATATGCAAAAATGTATATTAAAAAACTTAACGACGACATGTATGTGTAACAAATTGGTACTACGAATTCCAAGGAAAAAAAAGGTATTATTATGATACTACTATACTTGGATTATTGTGGTTTTTGATATTGAAACAAAAAACCGTTTATTGTTGTATTGTTTGAAAATATTCGCCACAGAAAGTCGAAATTTAGAGCACTTTCATATTTAATAGACTTTTATAGCCGCAATTTCACTTTAACTCAAAATACTGTATTACTGTTGTAGTGCCCACTGAAACATTACATGGATAATCGATAAAATCGAACACGATTAATACAATAACGAGGAAAATCGATTTATTATATTTGACAACACTAACATTTTACCGTTGCCTTATCATCCCTAAGTGCTCGTCATTCCTATTGACCGATGCAGCAAAATTTTCGAACGAAACTTAATTATTGGTCTATTCATAAATTCTCTTTTTTTTTGTGAGAATAACAAACAATATCGGACGATGGATTTCCTCCAAGCTGCACATAATGGAACACTTATAATTTCTTTATGTATGTGTGCTGTTTTACTCATGCAGGCGTAATTCGGAAGTTTTGTTTACTGAGCTGAATGAGTTGTCTCTTTGTTGAATAGTTACCGAAGTCCATTAGCAAAACTAATAGAATGTATTGTGAGTTTATTGTGAGCGCGCACGGGTAATTCTGAGTTTCCATTTGCAACATGGTACAGCCCACATTACGGTGGTGGTATTCAAATTGTGATGTTTACAGCCTCCAGCTACAACCAATCGCCAAGCGGGCCGTGAGCACGTTAATACCCCACCCATGCAATAATTTTACAACAGAAGTGTGTCTTAACCAGAAAAAATCTAACACAAACTTCTAAAGAAATTTAGTTCCTTTAAGATGCGTAGATTTTTTGAGTTCATTGATTCATTAGATAAATAGCGACGATAAAAAATACAAAAGTTTACCTTCGCTTTTAATTTTGTATTGTGAATATTGTCTTGACACTAGAATTAGGTGTGCGTAATCCGACATCTGAGTAGCCCTAGTGCGGACATTTAGGAATCTGAAGCATTAAAATATATTTGAACATTTATTATGTTTTCTTGAACACAAAAATTTAGACAGAAAATACCTATAAAATACTATAAAAAACTAAGAATAGTTCCCCTGTTACTTCTAAAACTACACCGAATACACTATTATTGTATAAAAATATAATTTACTATAATGTCCCTTTTATTAATTTTAATTTAAGAAAAATAGCTCATGAATAATATTTACTCTAGTGTCATAATCAAGGAATATTGAATAGATTGCTTAATGCTTTGCTTTTTATGGTAATAAATTATTATCTACTAATAATGTTAAGACTTGTGATAGCGAATGGCTTAGCTGAGCCCCCTAATGTCTAGCTGGGGGGCGATAGACAAATCTACCTTCAACGGTTATACAAAGATAAAACTGAAAAGTAATTCGGGCACGGTCGCCATTCTTTGAAAGGAAAAGATCCGGACTTTAATAATTAATAACGGTTTTTTCTTTTTCTGTTGCCGTTTAGAAGGTTATCAATTCAATATTTCTGTCGTTTAACACATGTAGATATTAATTTCAATGCGAAAGAAATCGCAATCAGCCTCATGTATAAATTAGTGAGACAACGCCACCTTTTGCAAATACGTAGTACTATTTGTAAATTCCGACGTAGCGCGCGTTAAGCATACGCAGGCCACATTCAAAATCTACTATATTCTCGCCAGAATATCAACAGATGGCGTGATTAGTCTCAAAACAAAATCATTGAAAAAAAATTAAGATTTTCGCAATAGTTTACAGTAGGTACAATTTTAAGAATCTTGTTTACGACGAAACAAATATTCATGCCTTGGTAAATGGAAAATGATGTTTATTACGAACTAATTTCAGAACAGAACGTGTAAAAGTATTTTTATATATTCCAAAAAAAAACCAGTGTGCGTAAAGATAGTAAGTATGGAGTTGGAACGTTTGCCTACGTTTGTCCCTAGGGGCGCTGTTTCAACTAGATACAAGTTTTAGTTAACTTTCACGCTATCGAGAACGTTAAAAAACAAAATATATAAAAATACATGATCTGAGAATTGAGTCGTCTATTATCAAAGGCGGCAATCTGTACATTTGGACAAAAAAATTTTATTGATATGTCAATACAGATTTATTTGAATATAATCGTCTCCTTCAAAGAATACGGTTCAAAACCTGCATTAAATAAAGGTTAATAGTTAACCTGTTATTTATCTAAGATGTCGTTCCGAAGAGTTTTGTGACTGCCAATGGAATACAAAGTCAATAATTCGTTTTTCTGATTTACCAATCATTGTCCAAAAGTCAGATTGCCGCCTTTGATAATAGTCGACTCAATTAACCGACTCATCGCGTTTAGCAATTCCTTTAAAGACCTAATATGGTCACTATAAATCGTAGATACTGTCATAACGTGAAAGCAGCCATCCACTTCGAGACTTCGTCGAATTCTGATTTGTGTGCTGTGTGTGATTTTACTGTGCCTTCAAACTGGAATTCATCACTGCTTCGCGGCACATATAGGCGGGATGATGGTACCTATCCCTGCGAGCTTACAATAAACCTTACCAACAGTAACAACCTTCAATGCCTTTGAAAAATTCTCCAGAAAGCGATATCATAGATTTTCCGTATAAAAAAAAAAAAATCCTATTTAAAAAAAATACACATTCCAATTAAAGGATATTTTTAGATGTGGTGAATTTTAATTAATTTTCTTTCCACAGCTGCTACAAATGCTGAAGTTTTACGCAAGATTTGAGATTAGCGATCAGACCGGAGATCCTATGACCGACCGTGACATGACATTACAGCACTACTCAAAAATCACCTCACTACAGGTAATCATTTAATTTTGACTATAAGTTTATTATAAGTATAAGTTAAGTTATAGTTTCAAGTATTTCAGCAGCTCCTAAGTTTTTAAAAACTAGTATCCCCCTAATGATCGAAATTCGAACATCATTACTGACATTTCAATACTTCAATTAATTTTTGCATTATAAGAATTCTTTAATTTCGCTCTAATATCCTGAACGGTATCAACAGGATAAAAAAAATTAAATTAAAAGTTAGTTTGGTTTGCTATTTAAGTAAATCCTTGCTTTATGGATGGAGCAGCCGTAAAACAAATCAGTTAAAACTTGGATTTAAAATCTCCATATCCTGCGGGATCCTACCAGCGGGATTCGAACACCGGTGCATCGCTAGATACGAATGCACCGGACGTCTTTATCTTTTAGTCCACGACTACTTAAAAATAGATAAAGAAAAGTGTTTTAATTGTGTTTACCTCAATTACTTATCTTTTAGTGAATAAACATTTATTGTTGGTTGTTCACACATCATTAAACTATAGTGATAGCTTTAGTTCGTTATAAAGTGTAATTAGAAACATGGAATTATTGATGCTAATACCAAATAAAACGGACCTTTAATTACAATGATAAATGTCGCTAAATATTAAGCCAAATGCCGTTAAACCAAATAGTCTTTCACTAGACGATATATGTAGTTGTAATCTCTGGCCTCCGCGATACACTTTTTAATTAAAGATTGACGTGAGCTCATCTACGTCATTAATGATAATAATATTGAAAACAATTTGTGTATAGAAAGCCGCATTTTCCAAGTTTCCTGATCTTCGTTTATTTGCCCTCGCGAATGTCGCGAGTGTCGACACCAGAGAAACGTTGCAGAAGCACTTCAAGAATTTGAGGTAATCCCTTAACGAATTAATGAGTGAGCATTTGACACAAGATTAATTACTAAAAATAGCATCATACAATCTAATTGACAACGTCAAAGATGCAGCTGATGCATTGTCGGAATATATTGGACCCACGCCACGTTGACATAATTATTTTAAAATTTAAGGAATCTCCCGCCCACAATTTTGGACATACGAGTTCGTATTATATCTGTCAATTAATATATTGATCGACGGGTGTGACGTCATCAAAAGTATAAAGTTATTGACGCATTGACCCGTAGTCGATTTTTTTGTTAGATAATTTTCGATCATCGGCTTTTCATCATATTTTCTTTTATCATGAATGTCTTTGGTATTATCCGCATAAAAAGACTACATATTTTATTTATTAAACTTTACGCGGAATAGGTACCGTGGTTGACTTTTAGCGGGTAGGTATTTGAAATAAACAAAAATGGTGCGCGTGCAACTTGTTGCATACGAAAGAAGTTAAACTTCTTTTGAGATGTGTAATATTGTGGTATTCTTCATTTTTCATCCTGAAATAAAATTTCTCTTGTAACAGGAAATGTTGTGTATAAGAGAAACGACCTAGCTCGCTTTGTCCTTTCCTTCTCTCCACGATCGAGTGGTTCACGAGACGCTCTGTCTATTTTCTCACTCTCGCTCTTCCTAAATTGTATCTTTTCTCTCTAGCCGTAACAAATCTGTCGCAAGTTATATTTTACTCTCAAGGCGTCTAAAGAAGTTTGACTTCAAAAATTGTGGTACGCATTGCCTATTACTGTCTCGACGCAATCATGTGAAGAGATTAATTCCAGAGTGATGAAGAGCTCTGGTAATAATTAGTCCATAAAAACATTATTTTTATTCTCTAAACTCGTAGCGACAAAGCTTTAAGAGCAATCGCCACGTACCTGAACCTGGTTCCTCCCGAAGGAAAAGAAGACGAGACGCCCTGGCACCGACTCGACAAAGATTTCCTCAGAGAGCTATTGGTGAGTACTACTACTGCTACTACTATCAGCCCACAGACGTCCACTGCTGGACATAGCCACCCCCTGGCAACCCCCAACCCTCACCACACAGATCGGTCCTGCCCTGCTTGCGACCAGCGGATCCCCGCGAACCACAGTAGGTCGTCGGTCCGTCTTGTAGGAGACCCACGCAACTATTGATGAATACTATTGTTATCTTAGTGTCAGAAGGGCTCAATGGACACATAAAGGTTAATATTTTTGTATTATAATAAGTTGGTCTTAAACGATTTTAAAAAATCCATAAGTTTCGATAAGAACATTGAGTTCATTGGGCCGAAAGTCCAATGAACAATGACCTTAACCTATGGAGCACGACTGTAGGAAAACCCGAGAATAATTGCAACACTAATAATTCAACCGTTTTTTTTTAAATATATAATAACTTCATTAACTATTGATAAGCGGCCTTTAATAATACCTTTATTAATAAAACCCTATAGATAACGCTCTATTGTCGCAAGTATAATTTTTCCTGGTGGGTATTATTTTTTGGTATGTTGATAATCCAAATATTTGACCACAAACATGTTTATCAAACATATAAACTCGAGCCCACTTTGCCATCGCACATCATTTTCCCCACCTTTTTATTCCTGCCCTACCGTTGGTAGCATAAGGGACTATTCTAACTACACGTGTACTGGTAGATGAGTTCACCGGGCTTAACTTGACTTGCTAACACCAGCCCTAGCGAGAGCAGTGCTTCGCTGAATCTACCACCGGGTCGGAATTGCGGCCCATTGAGTAGATCTGACGAGACTCAGTGAGCTGCGTCTATGGCTTAGTTCGCTTGTCGAACTCTTGCGAACTCTTCGAGCTCACCGGGAAGCTTCCATAAGCTCAGAGACAGAGTTGACTGTTAGTCACACATCATTAACACAGGGAATTCTAATTTGGGACCGGATTGAGCGCGCGTGATTTCTTCCCAGTTTAATAAAAAAAAATTAATTGCTTAGATGAGTGGACGAGCTCACAGCCCACCTGGTGTTAAGTGGTTACTGGAGCCCATAGACATCTACAATGTAAATGCGCCACCCACCTTGATATATAAGTTCGAAGGTCTCAAGTATAGTTACAACGGCTGCCCCACCCTTCAAACCGAAATTCATTACTGCTTTACGGCAGAAATAGGAAGGACGGTGGTACCCATCCGTGCGGACTCACTAGAGGTTCTACCACCAGTAAGTAATTATTATTAGTTAATATTTTTTACTATATTGCATATACGGTGCTATAAAGTGACTTATGCAATTTTGTGTTAACATTGAACTGAGTGTGAGAAAATACATTTTTTAATAGTTATTAGTGAGACGAAAAGATATTCGCTTTTAGTGATGGAGCTTAAAGTTGTAGTTTAAATATTATCATTTTATTTCTATAGCCTAGCAGAGCTATATAAGAACTTATAGGTGTTGAATTTTCCAACGTTTCTCCTGAAAAATTACATAATTTGTATAAGTGACGTTATACTACCGTAAGTGCGATATACACATTTTTTTACAACACCCCCTGCTCTGAAAGGTCTCTTCTTCTTAGCCTTTTCCCGGTCTATTGCCAGGGTCTGTTTTCCTACTTAAGTTTCTCTACTTATCCCGGTTTTAGGCATCCTTCTGAGTGAGGTTATGCTCCTCCATATCCGCCTTTACCACATTCAACCAGCTCTAAATGTCAAAAAATTCTTACGTCATACAATTTCAAAATCAGATCTCGCGTCACGAGAGGCGAATTTCACAATTGGAAGAATTGAACTTGATGCCCCTGTATCCTACAGAAGAGATTATCTGGGACGAGAATGTAGTGCCCACAGAGATATACAGCGGAGAGAATTGCCTAGCCCTGCCTAAGCTGAATCTACAATTTTTAACATTACACGACTATCTGTTACGAAACTTCAATTTGTTTCGCTTGGAGAGCACATGTAAGTATTATATCTGATCCCATTATAATAACATGTTCATTATTAATAATTGATGATTATTATCTAAACAAAATCTAATATATTTTCAATTCATTTTAAAAACACTTTACGTTAAGAAATAAAATTACAACACTTTACGTTATTCCCTTAAAAAAGTATTACAGGTAATCATTTTACAAGCATGAATTTGACACATTCAGTAATAGAACATTATATGCTGCATTTCTACAAAAATATACATTTTAATTAAATCATTTCTAGTAACTAATTAAGAAATTCATACGATTGTTTTAATTTTATATACATCCACTTTTGCAACCCACTGTACATATAATACTAAAAAAAATATCCTTAATATTATATTGAATTTTGCGTTTAATTCGAATTATGCGAATCTGTCGTTCATTTTCTAGGATTCAAACCCTAATGCTAACTTCTTTCTGACGAAACACGTATTGCGATGTGTTTATAATATATCTTGAAGTCGTTTATAAACACGTGACTCAAAAAAATATATTTTCGTGTTCTAAATGTTCATAATAACACATTTATTGTTATGTTTATAAATACACGTGTATTTTTTTACATATACACGTGTATATTCTCAAAATAAGAACTTTATCGTCTCGATCAAGTTCGCTACTCTACATCTTTATTATTTTAATGATCCAGGCCACTGTGATATTTTTGTTTGTTTGTTTGCAGACGAGATAAGACAAGACATTGAAGACGCCGTATACAGATTGGCGCCGTGGTACGTATGATAATACCTATGTATTTTTTTACCAGCTCTTTGTGTGTCTATATCTAGCGCACTCATTGTCACCCATTTTCTGCTTACGAACGACTTCCATTCTGTGAATATGTTAACGTGAAAGACAAAGGCCCGCTTATTACAAATAAAAAAATACCAAAATTATAAGTTTTTTTTTTAAAGAGCTTACAGTCCAACTCGAAGTCGCAACAATAAACTATGAGAATCCAACCTTAGGATTCTGTTTGGCTTTTTTTATTGCTTAGATGGGTGAACGAGCTCACAGACCACCTGGTATTAAATGGTTATTGGAGCTCATAGATATCTTCAACGTAAATGCGCCACCCACCTTGAGATGTAATTTCTAAGGTCTCAGTAAAGTTACAATGGCTGCCCCACCCTTCAAACCGAAACGCATTACTGCTTCACGGCAGAAATAGGCGGGGTGTTGGTACCTACCCGCGCGGACTCACAAGATGTCCACCAGTAAAGAAAGTGGCTAGTAATAAGTAGAAATGGTCGCATTACAGAGCTTGTAATAAATTTGATTGATGATGTAGATGTTCGAACTATAATGTCAAGAAATATTCTTTAAAATTACTGAAACTAAACGACGGCCTCAGAAAATGTTCGAAATCTTCGTGGCCTAACGAATAAGACGTCCGGTGTACTCCTGTCGATCGATGTGACTATGCCAGTGTTCGAATCCCACAGCAGATACGGATATTTTTTTTAATATTAAATACATCCTTAACCCATTTTACTGCCGTGTAGGTCATCGATGCCTTACATGATGCACTGAATTTATTATATCAATTTATGTTTGTAGAGCGCCTGCACTGCCTAACTTTGCCTTGTTTTGTTTGTCAACGGACATTTTAGTCTTTTAGATCGTTTAGAAATAGGTTCATTCGCGCTATCTTCGGATTTGTCTCTCCGAGAATCCACTAGATATTTCAGTAATCGACATAATTATTTCAGTGCGCCGCGTAGGGCACGGGTGATCTACATAGCAGTCAAAGAGTTAACGCATGCTCACGAATGACTTCCACGGTGAAGGAATAACAGCGTATCAATAAAAATCTAACCCGCAAAATGTTCTAATTTGGGTAATTACGCAATGCTAGAGTGTATCGTAAGCATAGATAAGTAAATACCATCCACTGTTTTATTGCGGGCTGTATGAAGTTGCTGATGATAAAGAAAACTTGTGCTTTGTGCTGCAATACGGTTTATTTGTATGTTGATACACTTGATATTTTATTTATATGATAAACACGTCCGCTTGCGGTGAAAAGGGAAAAAGGAAGAGACTGACATCAACAATGTTGCCAGTCATATAATTTTATTTTCCATACTAAAATGTTGGAGTTGCCAACACCCACCCAATGGCGGATCCAGCGGGAGGGTCATGGGGGTCATGACCACCCCCTAAGCTGGGTCCAGGACTTAGGTGGACCACTAATTGAATATAATGATTTTATTTATATATTTTGTCACCATACAGATTTTATGTAACTACATACCTTTAATATTTAATTAATTTAATATAATATAAATACTTTGTATAATGGCAAACGTTTGAGAACGAACGCATCTAAATTTGACTATGTGACCCCCTCCTGGCGCCAAAGCTGGATCCGCCCTTGCACCCACCAGTCAATTTCTGCCGTCAGGCATTCCGGCTTGTAAGGTGAGGCAGCCGATACTATACAACTGATACTTGAAGCTATGTTTCAAAGTCAGTAGCGGATTTCACGCTATGTTCCCATGGACTGCTATAAAAAAACAGAAATAGTATCACAGTTATTTTGGCGCACACACAATAGAAACATTGTAACATGCACGTGCCGTGCAAACATAAATAGACTCATACACAAGTGAACGAAATATGCATTAAACCCGCGAATAAACAGTACCCAAGCGCTTACTCATATTTGGGCGTGACCACGCCAAGACGTTTATAACTCTGACCGTAATCAGTGTCGGCTAAAGGATCGTATTATTAAAGATTTTACGGGAATACGTAATGGCGTTTTAAACATCGTGTGTTATAGAATAATTGTGTATTATTGCAATCAAGTACATGATCTTAAGACGAAACAATGCTTTGATATAGACTCTATTAGAATGTAAAGCTTAGAGTTCATTCCAAATAAATCCCGCAAAATTATAATTTGCGTAATTACCGGTGGTAGGACGGCTTGTGAGTCCGCACGGGTAGTTACCACTACCCAGCCTATTTCTGCCGTAAAGCAGTAATGCGTTTCAGTTTGAATGGTGGGGCAGCCGTTGTAACTATACTGAGACCTTAGAACTCATATCTCAAGGTGGCTGCCGGCATTTACGTTATATATATTATGTCTATGGGCTCCGGTAACCACTTAACTTCAGGTGGGTCGTGAGCAGGTCCACCTATCTAGGAATAAAAAAAAACACAGATATCCTACTTCACTATACCTAGTATATTTTGATGAAAGGTAAAATTTCATCGATAATGTCGTGAGCAGGTGTTAGGATCGTGGTCACTTACGAAAAAACAATAGTATTACCAGGACCTTACTGTAAAGGTGCGAAACACAGTGTGGCAGTTTGACTAAAACGAACAACAATAACGAAACTATAGTACTACTAATACTAATAGATCCATTGTTTTCATAAAACCGAAATCCCTCATGCTTTGTATGTACTATTTATTATTCAGCGGGTTCTTAATTTTAATGAATACCTAATCGATATTTCAGCGCCGTTGAAGGGGCCCCGATCACGGGTAGAATGTGGCTAGGATGTTGGGAGGAGTCTTCTGATCTAAATAAGCGTAAAAGCTCAAAACGTTTCCCTTATTCTACCAGGAATTCAGAAGACGGAAGCGTTTATTTCGGGGGCTGGGCGCGGATGGCGCATCCTATAAAGAGTTTCGCAGTTGTCGAAGTGGCCAAACCGAACATCGGCGAGAAGGCCCCGTCGAGGGTCCGAGCCGATGTCACCGTCACGTTGAGCCTCAGAAACGAGATAAAACACGAATGGGAAAACCTCAGGAAGCATGACGTTTGCTTCCTGGTAACTGTCAGACCTACACAAGGCATAGGTAATTTTAGGAATCATTAAGTTTGCGAATACAACAACTTCGTCTGCAATTTATTTAGTTCATTTTCGTATTTTTACAGATTTTATCGTATACTAGCTTTTGCCCGCGACTCCGTCCTCGTGGAATAGTTACTTTGGCATAACGCTAAATTCTACCCCCACTTCATTTACGTAGAAAGTGAAAATATTTTTGAATTATACAATGTTAAGGAGCTATTTAAACCCCTATTTTGAAACATTCTTTATTGGTGCTCCACTTGTCTTACCGTGATGTTATATAGCCTATAGCCTTCCTCAATAAATGAGCTATCTATCACTGAAATAATTTTTCAAATCGGACCAGTAGTTCCTGAGATTAGCGCGTTCAAACAAACAAACTTCAGCTTTAGAATATTATAGTATAGATGATTTTGAGAAAATATCGTGTCCTGATAGATTGTTTACGTTACTTTTAAATTTGTTTTTTTATGCTGTTGTGATATAATTGAATTTATGTTGTCTATTCGTGCCAAGAAATGCTCTTCGAAATATTTAGACGACTATCACGGCGCCGCGACGTTTAGGTTTCCCTACTTCTATGATGTGGTGTCGGGGCTCACCGACTTACAACGGAATCAAGGTCTTTCCCATAATAAATTCGGGGCATCTGTTTTTGGAATTCAAGTGCGCTTCTGTTTTTTACGTCCCGACCATCGACATTCGTAGAATCGATCCGATTCGTTGTAAGAAATAAAATTAAAATTATCTCAGTGAGTAATACATGTGAAATAAAACATGAAGCACATACGAGGAAATTGTTGCTCCAGTTGCTCAAAAACTCTCAGAGATTCGTCTTAGTAGTTAAGGATAAGTGATACGTACACATAATGACCATGCCGTTCACCAAGCAATGGACCTGCCTGAAAGAGGCAGTAGAAGAGAGCAAGGGGACATTGCGGAACAATATATCCTGACTTCTGAATGAGGTCCGACTTGACAGCATGACAACACAGGATAGAAATTCCCAGCGTAGACGAATTAGGAGACCCGACCCCATCTAAAGTAGGACAAGGAAAGGAAGAAGAAGAATGAATAAAACACGTTTTCTTCTGTTTGCGTATTATTCGTCCGATTGATTCGAAATTACAGCAGTCGTTGATATCATAATGATAGTTCTGTCAACGGTTCGTCGAGTTTCAGCGGACACGATATTCAAAAAATAAAATATAATATACACATTTAGCTTCAGATTTGAAAATTCTTATAGGTACAAAGTATGACTACAGAAAGAGTATGGTGGATCAGGCGGGGATAGTGTACGTGAGGGGTTGCGAAGTTGAAGGTATGCTGGACGCATCCGGCAGAGTCATTGAGGACGGGCCGGAACCGCGGCCGGAGTTAGAGGGAGATTCCAGGACCTTCAGGCTCTTACTCGATCCTAACCAGTACAGGCTTGACTTGGACAGAGCTAGTAAAGGGAATGAGGTAACTATAACAATTATTGTTCAGGGCTCTATTTTGGGTTTTGTAACAAACTCTTGTTCACTGGAACCCAATCGTGGGGATCTTCTAGAAGAGACGGATGATCGCAAGTAAATAGTGGTCGTGGCCTAAAAGATAAGGCGCCTAGTATACTCGTATCGAGCGATGCGTTAATACCGGTGTTCAAATCCCGCACGTAGGTACTAATTTTTCTAACAAATGAAATAACGCGAGGTAATAAAATCAAATCAGTAAAAAAATGCACTATAATGTTGGGGGGGTTTTTATTATTTTTTTCCATTCTAGGGACCCCGAGGGGCCATACTAGATTCACCGAACGAATAGGTTAGCCCACGTGGCTTTGACCTGGTGTTGGGGCGTATTGTCGCATGGTACCACCGTCTAGTCTATTTCCGCCACAAAGCCGCCGTGAATTGAAGACATGAGTGGATGAAGGGGATATGATACAATTTGCTAATTTTGAAAAAACGGGCAACATACTTTTGTTACTTGTTCTTTTTTTTCGTACTTAACTCCTTCATCGCATGCAATTTCTAAAAGTAGCCTTTAAACCTAGAGTTTTAAAGTCTAATATGGTTTATAGGCACATAACGCCTTCATTCAAAGTAAAAACTCAAAATTCTTAAAAATGGTACTTAACCCCTTCATCCACTCAAGTTTATTTATTTATTTATTTATTTATTAAGTTGCACCAACAAAGTGATCATCGATACAAAACATTGACAAATTGACAAAAGTTCATTTAAGTTTTCAATTATAATTGAGACTTCACTCATCGTGGATGTCATTATTCAAAGCGTTATGTGTTTGGTTACTGGTAACCGTTTAAGTTCCAATAAATAACTGATTTAAAGTAATATGAAAGCTTTTACGTGAATCTGGTAACGTCTACATATATCTAACAGGAACAGCACTGTCTTTTTGAATGAAAGGCGTCCTTTTTATGTACCCCTGACAACGTACGTGTATGTGCTTAGTGATGCGCGATTTATTGGTTAAGGCGCGAAAGCATCACCGATTTATTATCGCATTTCTAACGTTGGTTATAACGTTATTTTAAAACGTTTATCGCAGGACGTGTACGAGACTTTCAATATAGTTATGCGTCGTAAACCGAAAGAGAACAACTTCAAGGCCGTATTGGAAACGATACGAGAATTGATGAACACCGAATGCGTTGTACCGGACTGGCTTCACGATATAGTCTTGGGCTACGGAGATCCCGGTCAAGCTCATTACACGAGGTTCGTATCTTTTGAAGTGAAAACTTCTTTAGAATCGTTGTGATTTTAAACCGGATGCAACGGAAAAAACGACAGGTAAGAGACACAAATACAAAAATGTGTAGGATGAAGCCAGCAAAGAATGAGACAGAAATATACATACTATTTAATACAGCGCCATCTGTGAGATTTTTTAATACTAACGTGTGTATGAAAGCTCTTGTTAATTTAGGATTATACGTGAAATTAAAATATCAATTCACAGAGGGCGCTACCTTACAATTATTTACTAATGACAAAATTTTACATATACTTAAGACGTTTAGGATAATTGTATTTTAATTTTGGAAGGTTTCACTTCTACCACGTGTGAATTGCACACATTTTGTTTTTTTTTTATATATTTGAATGATTACTGGTGGCCCGGAGGCCTTTCCAGTTTCACCAGGTGAGGTGGGCGAGCAAAGGCTCAGCCAGGAGGGGTGGGATTTGCTAACAACTGCCCGAGCGCCTCCAAAGGAGACCTAACAACTCAAGAGCAATTGCTTCGCGAATGTATCTACTACCGGATCGGAATCGTATCTCTAGTATCTTGGTAGTATCATGGTCATGGGAAGCGTGAGTCTGCAAATCAAACTGAAGATGGATTGAAAAAAAAAACGAGTAAAATTCACGCGCCATAGAAGCGAAACCTTCCGAAGTGTTTCTATCTCATTCTCTCGCATGCTAAATCGTATAGATGTATCTTTGTCTCTTTTCAGTGTCGCTTTTCCGTTTCATTGAGTTTTAAATTGTTAGGTTTATAAATAGTTTTATTTATACCAAAGGAGTGATAACAATTGCTTTATGAGTTGATGAGAGTGTTGTTTCGTTAAACGCTCTGTAAGATAGTTCCGACTCGTTACTGGCTAGATGACGTCAGCATATTACCGTCTACTTTTATACCCAAGGTCTTTTTGGCCACACGAGCATCCTCTTACTGCATATATTCCCCTTACAACGAAAACTTTCCACTCTTTCCTATCTACTATCTATAAACTTATCTTAAAATGTCTTCATATTGAGACATTGATACCTACATTTCTTTGACACTGTGAAATGGATTTAACAGTGTCCAAGAAATTGACATTCACACTGTTTGTTAAAAACTAAAAGTAACAATCTTAAAATAGAATTCGTCATGATGCGTCAGAATTTATCTTGTTGAGTTTTCAGAAAACCCAGCGATCTGATGAAGCGTATGTACGTCAATTAGATACAATTACTTTTATCGTGTATTGAGTGTAGGTAATATATGTACATATGCGTCGTTTAATATGTATGTAATTTCATATTATATTAATGTAGATGAGAAGAAAATCTTACGATCTATTAGCATTCAATGAGTGCTCACAACCTATAGGCATCACAAGATGCCGCCATCCGCCTTGAGACATGAGGTCGAAGACTCAATCGCATAACTGCTTCGTGGCAGAAAAGACCTGAATGTTGGTATCTAACCGTGCAGGCTTTCAAATACGCCTTACCAGTATACATATATGTTGATTTTAAATTGCAGTACGCTGGTATAAATCTAAGAGAATGCTGGTGCCATATCCACGACGTAAATGCGCCACCCACCTTGAGATATACGTTCTAAGGTCTCAGTATAGTTACAGCGGCTGCCCCACCCTTCAAACCGAAACGCATTACTGCTTCACGGCAGAAATAGGCGGGGTGGTGGTACCTACTCGTGCGGACTCACAAGAGGTCCTACCACCAGTTAAAAACATCCTATCTATCGGTATGAAATTTGTGAGCGCCGTGTACTCCCACAGGATGCCGAACGAGATAGCTACTCTGGACTTCAACGATACATTCCTGAACATGGATCATCTGCGGAACAGCTTCCCGGGGTACGAAATCAAGGTGCAGACCAACGACCCGAGGAAACTCGTCAGGCCGTTCAAGTAAGTTCAGAATTTACTTGCAGAGTGCATCCTACATCTATACTAATATATAAATCTACTGTGGTTTTTACGGATATTCCGTTATAAGTACTGAACCATGCATCCGATTGACTTGAAACTTGGTATCCATGTAGAAAATACATGTACCTAATGGATAGGCTAATATTTATATGAGTGTTGGACTCCTCACACCAGGGGTGAGAAATAATAATGTTAATTTTAAATGCTCAGCGAAGCGGACGGGTACTGCTAGTCTTTATATATGTGTATATATATATAATAATTCTTCTGTCCGCGAGTACGTGCCTGGACTCCTTTTAGAGGCCTTTTTTGTTTGTATGTCTTCAAGTAGTTTCGAGAATGGTTAATATCTACAATACGGTCCACAATATATTTTTTTTGTTTAAAAACAAAAAGGAAACAGATTTTCTGACTTAAGACGGGTGAGTCCACATAACCATAAATGAATAATGAACCTTAATCGTGTCCCTTGTAAGTCACTTTTTCTAAGAGTTCTTTTCATAATTGCACGCGAAAAATTCGTTATCAATGAGGAAACCGCTCATTGTAATAACGGTGTCTAGGTAGAAATCATTATTAATCTTTTATGTTAATGTTGTGTGTGCAAATAAAATGCAACGCGACTAAGGGAATAAAAATAAAAATTATACACCTTTTTTTTTTGCTTAGATTGGTCGTCGAACTCACAGCCCACCTGGTTTTAAGCGGTTACTGGAGCCCATAGACATCTACACCGTAAATGCGCCACCCACCTTGAGATATAAGTTCTAAGGTCTCAAGTATATTTACAAGTTATTTTGTGGATCATTTGGCGTCCCTTTGTGAGTAGCGGCCAGAGTTTGATACCACTCCTTGCCCTTGAGTGGCGGAATTAGCGACTTGGCGACCTTGATTATTTAACACTAGACTGGTCGGGAGCTCGTCCAATCCGTCGCGATTCCGATCCGGTAGTAGATTCATTCGCGAAGCAAATGCTCTTGAGTTGTTAGGTCTCCTTCGGAGGCGCTCGCAGTTGTTAGCAAATCCCGCCCCTCTTGGCTGAGCCAAGCTGAGCTCGCCCACCTGTCCCGATGAAACTGGAAAGGCCTTCGGGCCACCAGTATACTTTCAATCATAAAAAAAATATCGTCCAATCGTCTATGCAATGGCCAAAGTCGAGTCGTTGTTCAAGTCCCGCGCATTCGTTGAACCGCAAACAATAGAAACGTTATGTGTCAATGTCACGTGCTTTTTCGGGCGTGACGTCATTGTAATACTGAGAATAAACATGGGCATTAGAGATTCGTTTTCATATCTCGTTGTGATCTTTTGGAATCACGACGCTTCCGTTATCGCTATACAAATAAGTAATCTATATCTATACTAATATATAAAGTTTTTTTTTTTATTGCTTAGATTGGTGGACGAGCTCACAGCCCACCTGATGTTAAGTGGTTACTGGAGCCCATAGACATCCACAACGTAAATGCGCCACCCACCTTGAGATATAAGTTCTAAGGGCTCAAGTATAGTTACAACGGCTGCCCCACCCTTCAAACCGAAACGCATTACTGCTTCACGGCGGAAATAGGCAGGGGCGGTGGTACCTACCCGTGCGGACTCACAAGAGGTCCTACCACCAGTAAGCAGAAATAGGCAGGGGCGGGGTTTTTATGGTTGTTCCGTTATAACTACTGAACCGTGCATCCGATTGACTTGAAACTTGGTATCCATGTAGAAAACACATGTACCTAATGGATAGGCTAATATTTATATGAGTGTTGGACTGATTCTGCCACGAAGCAACGAAGCATATTACACAATTCAGATTTAATATCTCAAGTTGTCTATGGAAATATAACTTTAAAATTATTTAATAAAGAATAATTAACAAAAGCATATTAAGTTTTCAGAGTCGTAGACATAAATATGTAGACACGATATATCTACATAATCTATATATTAGTACGTGAAGCAAAAACTTTGTACCCCTTCTTACGAAAATTCCGCGGACGCATACGGAGTATGAAATTTCCCACACTTATAGAGTATATAGAGAAGTAGTGCAGTAGAATGTTAATATTTTTTTTAAATTATGCATAAAAAAACATTAACTCAATAAGAAAAACATTACACACACACCCATGCATATTATTTGTTTACTGTAAAAAAAATCTTATTGCTCATAGTCTATGGTCAAATTGAGAATAGATTAAATATTGTTTGTCTTTATTATAATAATATTTGTCTAAAGTGTAGTCTTGACGAAATCTGTGATTATAGAAGTATTAGTCTTTGACAATAGAATCATAATAGTGTACAAACTTATAATTTTAATTGATTATAGTCGAATTTCGACGACCGCGGGGACCACAAGTGATAATAACAACGCGCTAAATGATTAAACCGGTTAAGTAGTTTCAATATAATTCTTATTGAAATTCTTTATGGATTGTTTTCAGCATTTTGACTAATTTTCGTTTATCTTGCGTGTGGGTAACTCTAAAATCTGTCACTGTAGGATCTCGATGATAAGGCCTGTTGGTGTTGCCAACGTTGTTGAGTATCAATGTATTTTATCCGGTAGTCTGAAATTCTGATGGCACTGTTTTTCCATATGTTACCATGCAGAGTCTACAGAGGGGGCTATGTAATAAAATGTCTTAACTTTTAATATGTGTTTGGACATGGAAATCAACGATGATCGATTAAGGGTCGCCGCACACGGGCCACCAGCCGCAATCACAAAACGCCGCCACCGGAATATTTCTTGTAATTTTCACACATTTTATATGTAGCGTGTAGCGGTCACCGGCGTCATCCGTGTGCGGCGAGTCCATATAAAATTTATGAAAATTACAGGAAAAATGCCAGTGGCGGCGTTTTAGGGTTAGGGCCGGTGCAGCGGTGACCCTAAGACGAAGTTGTACAAATTAAAATGATTCGTATAAATTACCCGTTTAGGTTGACTTTCGAAAACGTCGTACGGAAGCAGCAGGTCGGGGACGCAGCTATGGACGAAGACGAACCCCGCAAAGCGATCATTGTCGAACCCCACGTACAACCGAAGAGGGGACCGTATTTGTACAACGAACCAAAGAAGTGAGTTTTTTTATTTTGTTTTTTTTTTTTGTTATTGCTTAGATGGCTAAGCTAATAAAGAAAGACAAAGGCCCGTTTATGGGATTACAAAAAAAAAACGTAAATGATAAGTTTTTTTTTAAAGAGCTTACAGTAGAGCTCAAGGCCACAAGAGAAACAATAAAGTATGTTCTTTTTTTTTTTTGTTTCGATGGGTGGACCAGCTCACAGCCCACCTGCTGTTAAATAGTTACCGGAACCCATAGACATCTACGACGTAAATGCGCCACCCACCTTGAGATATAAGTTCTAAGGTCTCAGTATAGTTACAACGGTTGCCCCACCCTTCAAACCGAAACGCATTACTGCTTCACGGCAGAAATAGGCAGGGTGGTGGTACCTACCTATGCGGACTCACAAGAGGTCCTAGTAATGTCACCAGTAATGAAGATGTTGACGCAACCCACTTTAGTATTCTGTCGTAAGTCTCGACAGCTCCGAAATAAACGATCTAATAATATCCCTCTATTTGTACAGGAATAATATACTGTTCACTCCGACACAAGTGGAAGCTATACGTTCAGGAATGCAACCTGGACTCACACTGGTCGTCGGTCCTCCTGGAACTGGTAAATAATGTTCTTGAAAAACGTCTTTTGTTTTCAAAGCCAAATGTTTATATAAAATAATTCACTCTCTGATAGATTCGCCTGAATTGCTGTCACACATTTCATTAAACACTAAATTTAGTGCTCGTAGGGTCAACTAAAACAATGTGTTTGCATTATATTATTAAATAGCGACCCGCCTTCGCTTCGCTTCGGAAACTGTAATTTATTATTGATTTCTCTACTATTTAATGGATGTTATTATATACATATAAACCTTCCTCTTCAAAATCCATTGCGTAGTTTTAAAGATTTAAGCATACATAGGGATATAGAGACAGAGAATGCGACTTTGTTTTATACTATGTAGTGATTATTATTAATTTACAAAAACAATATAACTATCATATTATAGTTATTTTCTATCTATCACACTATCGTGTATTTGACACACACACACACACACACACACACACACACACACACACACACACACGCATGCATATTATTTGTTTACTTTTTACTTGTTGTTTTGTGATTTTTTGTGTATCTTTTTAGCTTGTAATGTGTGCCTCTAATTTAGCGGAAGATGGAGATGTGATCTCTCCCTACAGGGTCATGGTATGCGTTACCATGAGTGTTTTTATTTCAGGTAAAACGGACGTGGCAGTTCAAATAATTTCGAACATATACCACAACTTCCCATGGCAACGTACTCTGGTCGTAACGCACAGCAACCAGGCCCTGAATCAGCTATTCGAGAAGGTCGCCGAGCTGGATGTGGACGAAAGGCATCTGCTGCGTCTCGGTCACGGCGAGGAAGCTCTTCAGACAGACAAAGACTTCTCCAGGTCAGTTCACGTTAAGCATATATTTAACCTGTTCCACTCCCGATTCCGAGGTAAGCCAGTACTAACTTTTTTTTTCCTACCTAACCTGGTAGCCTTGAGAGGCTATTTCAGCGTAACCTTAACTAGTAGGCGAGCTCACGGGGCTCACACCTGACGAGGTTGCTAACACGAACCCTAGCAAGAGCCGTGCTTCGCAGAATCTGCCACCAGATCGGAAACGCGACCCACTGAGAAGATCCGGCGAGAAACTCAGCGGGCTGTGTCTATGGGTTAATTTACTCGACGAGCCAGACGACAAATTGTTGAATATTCGTGTAGCGTGTAAAGACTTATCGTATTATGGTCGCGCCCTGTACGTCCATCGCTTCGAAAGGCAAACGTACGTGTTCAAAAAACTTATTTGCAAATCGATATTATCTATTTGATGTTCCGTTTTTGTGTTCAACCAGTGAATACAAGTCACGCTTCACCGTGAGTCACGCCCTAAATCCTAATTCGGATGCGTTTATGATTAATTCGAAGAATACATACGACATTTTAATGACCCCCCGTCCGTTGGGTCTGGGGGACATGCTTCGTCTATGGGTCGTGAGTGGATGGATGGACGAGCGGTTTTGGTTAGTCCACTTTATAACAGACCTCGTCGGCAGATTTCAACGCTTGATATGAAGAAGACGAGTTTGCTTTTGGTCAATTAAAAGTTTTCTTATGCCTAAACTGAACTGCGTAGGTGGTGGGGCATTACATGTTTATGTGAATTTCCACAGCGCGACTGGTTTTGCTCAATAGTCCAACGGTTCGAATGATATTTCTCGGAATTTGTATTATATAATAAATGAAAATTCATTTTGAAAATGACGTCAGTCAACCATTTTGAAATTCTATTATATAAGTCACCGCTACCTATGTGACGCTTGGGTTGTGTCACAATTTTATGTTTTGATTTGGTTATGCCCATTAGTTTGTTTTCGATCGTCGATCATCGATGACCACTTACAATCGAATTTAATTATTAAATCAAAATGCAAGGTAGTTTAATAAATCCTTTTCACTATCGAATTATCTGTATGATCGTCGGTCTGTAAATGTAATAAGGATTCGGTTGATTATCCATCTGTAGCTAATGTTGAACACACACGTACCTATATGTTAAAAACGCGTTGCATACCATCTGTCGTACGTTTAGGGTTACCAGGATATGAAAATTCTATGAAGTGTTTGTTCAAAGCTTAAACCAAACTATCGAATAACTGACGCACGACAACGAACTAACATACAAACCTATAAAAATTCACAACATGTAAATATGTCGTAGAATAAATACACAAATCGGATACAAACATAATTGCTAAGATATTTGTACCTAATCTAAGACAGGTTTTCGGAATCGACGATCGTGAAAACCTTGCCTTAAATTCCGATTATAAGGTATTTGCAGTACTCCCAGGATTTTTAGACAATGATTCGAATTGTGCGATCATTCTACGACATACAGCGTTATTATTATCTGTAAAGTGATAATGGAAACTATTATTATAAATGTGAAAGTGTGTTTGTTTGTTTCATGTCGAAACGAAGCAACGGATTGACATGTTCTTATAGTTATAATATTAGGTCTAAGGAATTAGATAGGCTACTGTTATTCCGCAAAATCTATCTAATTCCAACGGGGGAAACTCTACTGACACTTTTCCTCAACGCGGTGGCCGAAAGAGCGCGGAACTGTTAGTACTAATATAAAAATTAGTTACCTTGGTTTTGAAAAACGTTCTAAATTACTGGTGGTAGGGCGTTTTTTGGTAGGTATCACCACCCTGCCAATTTCTGCCGTGAAGCAGTAATGCGTTTCGGTTTGAAGAGCGCGGCAGCCGTTTTACTGTTAAAACCTTAGAAATCGTCTCAAGGTTGGTGGCGGTATTTACGTTATAGATGTCTATGGGCTCCGGTAACCACTTAACATCAGGTGGGCCGTGAGCTCGTAGATGGGTGTCTAAGCAATAAATAAATAAAACTGCATAAATTCGCGTACAGTCCTTGCCGGCCAACATTGTTTGAGATCATACTATTATTATGATAAAAAATGTCTATTTAAAAACACGATGTCCTTAATATTCTAGCCACCTATGGCTACTCGCGTACACCAACTCGTGTTAATGAAGGTCAGACTCGTTTCGACTTCAAATGTCCGCGTACGGACTGTATTTAACTTAATTACTTTTCCTTTTTAAGACACTGTGCCCAGAGGGTTCTAACGGGATCACATTAGTGAGACTATGTACTATTTTAGTCTCATATTTAAGACTCTCTATTTTAAATCACAATGAGTAGACCAAAATGTATGGGACTCACTTTCGGTCTAGTTGTTGTTAAGTAGTCATCATCGCATGTCCTCGTACGGACTGTATTTAGCATAACTACTTTCCTTTTTAACACACTGTGCCTAGAGTGTTTTAACGGGATCACATTAGTGAGACTATGTACTATTTTAGTCTCATATTTAAGACTCTCTATTTTAATTCACAATGAGTAGACCAAAATGTTTGGGACTCACTTTCGGTCTAGTTGTTGTTAAGTAGTCATCGTCGCATGTCCTCGTACGGACTGTATTTAGCATAACTACTTTTCCTTTTTAAGACACTGTGCCTAGAGAGTTTGAACGGGATCACATTAGTGAGACTATGGACTCTGTTAGTCTAATATTTAAGAATCTCTATTTTAAATCACAATGAGTAGACTAAAATGTACGAGACTAACTTTCGGTTTAGTTGTCGTTAACGCGTTGACTGCGTCATGTGGTTTAAAGAGCCTCATGATGAACTGTCCCATTGTGCGGCAGTCAAAGCCGCGTTTTTCTCGATGTAGGAGGCGAATACGTCCGCATTTCTATGTTCAAGGGTGTATTAACCCTACAAGGCACCAAGCACTGTCTTTAATCGTTCCTATATCTATAAAATAAGAAATAGCGTCATCTATTGATTTATTGGTAGATGCCACAGACAGTTAACAATGTTGTAATACCAAACTTTACCTAAAGATGTCTTTCGTGTTAAAAAATGGAATTTAGTGAGGCCTATCAGGTATCATGCGCGCCGTATAGAAGTCTACTTTTGCATAGAGAAGACCTCATACACACTGGCTGAAAATCCCTCAAAATGGTCCCGCCGTCAACTTGTTAAATAGTCATCGTCGCTTAGGGGCATCAATGCCAGGGACACATCCAAGTCGCTCCCTACTGCTAGCAGGAGATGCTATAGGGATATTTCAATGAGGAAAGAGTCAGTTCCACTTTTTGGCTCAACAGTCGCATTTTAATCGAAGGATCGTGCGGATCCTCGACTAGCTTTAAAATATTTTAAGATGCTGCTTTAAAAATGCTTATCAAGATTTAAATTTATAATTTTTTCTACGAAAAATAATAGGTTTGGTTATCGATGAATGTAAACTTCCCAGGCGGACGTAATCTAGTGTTATCAAACATGTGTTATAACGTTAACATGGAATGTTTTGGAACAATGTCTAATATTATATTCACTTTTTATAAATTCTTAATTTTCCCAAAAATGTATTTTTAGAAATTATCGAATGATGTAATAATTCACGCCGAATTCAACTCTACGTTGAATAAATGGGATCGCGGCTAGCTTATTTAATTCAATGATGTTGATTGAACATAAATATGTCAACGTAAATAATGCTAGACTAACTATACATTCAATTACTTGCTCCCTTAATCATTCTTGAGAATTGATGTGGATGTTGACATCTATATTATATTATTTAAGTACATCGGCCTGCCTGAGTCGAACTTTAATTAAAAATGACGTAATTTAAAAAGTGCGTGGTCATATCGATCGTCAGTTATTGTTTTGTTTGTTTTTGTTATGAAAAATGCTTTTTGAAGTTATACTTCTTTAGGCGCGTTATGAAAAATTAATGAGAGTGAAATTTTACGATTTGCGCGTACCGTGACACAAAATTAACAGAAATGAAGTTGCCCACTAAATCGCTCATTACAATACGACTGACGTAACTTGGCGAGTCTGAATATAGCCGCAGGTGAACTTTCGCGCATGTACACTCGTAAAAAAAAGTGTTATTAGCATTCATTTTTTAGTAATATAAATGACAAAATTATTATTTAATATAATTCATAATAAATATTATTAAATTATTAACGTTAAATATTTATTATTAATTATTTAATATTTAAAAAAAAGAAATAAATTTAATAAAAATAAAGAATAACTTCTTACGCGCGTACATAAGTACACGCACCCTTTTTTTTTTCTTTCTTTCCTAACTATTCGCTGGTAGCATAAGGGTAGTGTTTGTAGTCTTTCTTTCCTATTCGCGCTTAAGGGTAGGGTTGGGAGCTGTTCTAGCCAGGCTGTGTCTGGTAGGTGAACTAACAGGCTCATCCTGAGAATGTTCTGATACTGGCCTTAACAAGAGCAGTGCTTTGCAGAATCTACAGGGGGATCGCGACCCGCTGAGAAGAACCGGCGAGAAACCCAATGGGCTGTGTCAGTTTATCGCTGATGACATTCTAATTAGTTGTCGTTGTTGATCTGTAGTTGTTAGTTGTCGTTTACTGGTGGTAGGACTTCTATTTCTGCCGTGAAGCAATAATGCGTTTCGGTTTGAAGGACGGGGCTGCCGTTGTAACTATACTGAGACTTTAGAACTTATATCTCAAGGTGGGTGGTGCATTTACGTTGTAGATGTTTATGGGCTCCAGAAATCACTTAACACCAGGTAGACTGTGAGCTCGTTCACCCATCTTAGCAAAAAAAAAAGATGTGTGTTGTCGTGGGACACCGGATAGGAACGAAGTTCCTTATTATAAAAATATTAATTTTAAGTTCTATTAGAGGTATAAATAATTATTCGGGTATAAATTTTTTATTATGATTTTTTTATTGATAAAAAAACTACTTTACAAAGCTATCAACATTATTTTATTCACAATGATTTATAAAAAATATATAATAAAAAAATATGTTATTTTTTATACGTTATTACAAAGTTAAGTTGTACACTCTGTGCATTACTAATAAAAATCTTACGTTACGGACTTTTTTTCCCGGTTAGGGTACCCCTCCGCATCGTTCCATAAGGAAATTCGTTCCAAAAAAATCAGTCATTGAGGGCTTAAATTTTCAAATCAGATACGGCCGCGTGAACTATGTGTTGGCGAAGCGTCTGGAGCTGCTCGAGCTGGTGTCGCGGCTGCAGCGAACGTTGGACGCGGGCTCGGACGCCGGCGCTACGTGCGAGCTGGCGCACCACTTCCACGTCTACCACGTGCGGCCGCGCTGGCGAGCCTTCCTCGAGAACTGCCAGCAACAGGTCAGCATACACACGCATTAACCATTCTGATGCGTCCTCTCGTACCGACGTCTCCTTCTAGACCAGTGCTAGGCAAAGTACGGCCCTCGGAAGTATTTAACACTAATCATATGAACACTTACTGGTACCTATTTCTACCGTAGCGGGTACATAACGGTATGCGACAAGTATTACTCAAAATAAACAAAACAAAAACAAAATTATAATAACTGTAGAAAAAGTCGTGAAGTCAAATGTGCAAAAGCAATAAGATGATACGTCACATACGTGCAATTTCAATAGAAAAGTTCAAAATGGATCATTTGACCCGGTATGGTATGTTTAGTGTTAATTCGGCCCGGCGGGAGTCCACCTATCCTAAATATTCTATAAGTCAGCATTTTGGCGCGTAAAATAAAAATGACGTTTTTAATTGAAAATCTTCGAATTTTGAATGAAAGCTCTAATTCGTCAGAGGTGTTTTGAGCTCTCATTATCTCATAGTTAACTTGCCATCATTATAATTATCGCGGCAGTCTGTCATAGGTATTAGTTTATTTATTAGAAAATAAAACATTCTTTTCAACTATCGATCACATGCCTCACGTCTCACACGCCTAACAAGGCGTAGGTAAAAGTAAAAGGTATTTTGTTTATTAAAAATCTCTAATACAAAATACATTTTTTCTATAATTCTGGCCCTCCTCTAGAATTTCTTAACCTTTGTGGCCCGCCATTAAAAATGTTTGCCCGCCACTGCTCTAGACGGTTCGAAGATTACAGTGCATGCGATGTGGTAGTTTGTAGTTTGATTGTTTTGGCATAGTATACCATATCGCATATTATAACCACACCAAAAGACCATAATACTACATGATGATTGACTATATCATGAAATTTTATACATATATTTTTACAGCTTCATAAAAATATGTTGTGGGTGAAAGCCAATTTGGTTTAGTGATATTTTTGCATCTTTACAAGAGAGCCATTTAAAGTATAAATAAATAAATAAATAAATCATAATGACAAAAATTTTCAGCTATTTGAATGCAGTAAACTTAATTGAATTTCAATTATTATTTTTATTGCATAGATGGGTGGACGAGCTCACAGCACATCTGGTCTTAAATGGTTACCGAAGCTCATAGATTTCACACAACGCGTTTCGTTTTGAAGGGTGGGACAGCTGTTGTACTTTACAATTTTGGCTTAGATCTCACGTCTCAATGTAGATGGTGCCATCCACTTTGTGATGTCCATGGGCTCATATAGATTCACCCGTGTATACATAAAAGACCAATCAGAGTGCATTAAGATCAAAATTCGAAGATACTCAAAATTGTTTCTTTTGTTAGTGAATATTAAAATGTTCGTCAATCTACAAATGAGTTTAATTACAGACAAACTCGATTGAGATAGTCAGCAAGGAGTTTCCGTTCCACGAATTCTTCGATGATGCCCCGAAACCCTTGTTCCTGAGGAAGTCTCACGAAGAGGACATGGAAATAGCCAAAAGCTGTTACAGGTACGCTGAATTGTAACCACCGACCGTAACGATTTCAGTGACGCTGACTTCTGACTCTTTGTTAATGGAGCTCTGAAGGAACTATTGTGTGACTAATACAGCGAATAATGAGTACAAATATAAATAAACGTGCTATATGAATAACTGGGCAGTATGTTGAAGTCGTGATGGCCTAAAGGATAAGACGTCCGGTGCATTCGTATATAGCGATGCACCGGTGTTCGAATCCCGCAGGCGGGTACAATTTTTCCAATGAAATATGTACCGTAAAATGGGGCGATTAGGGATTGAGAGGCGAATCTGGAAAAAACCGGGAAAATCTTTCGACGCTCAATATTAGTTTTATATTCGTTGCAAAATCTTCCATTTTTTGTAGTTTAATAGTAGAATGTTGAAAGTTCACAAAACAACTCTGAATATGCATGATAATAGCTGCTAACTTATAAAAAATCGCGTTTCAAATTAACTTCCTGTGGTGGTAATTATTCTAGTGCTAGAAACTTTGCTCTCTTTTATTTATTTGATAATAATAGAAGACGACTGTGATTTATAAACGTTATTTAGTGTTTGAACCATCATATATATTAAAGGTAAGTCTCAGTTGTTATTGGTTTTAATGTATTTGATAAAAGAAAAATACATGTAAAAATCTGTTGTTTTTGGGGATATTGGGGACGTCTTAGGTACAAATAACAACGAAAAAGGGTTCAATTGGGATGAGAATACGTGAAATGGAAACGACCTAAGTATAAATAGGTACAGGTTTGTAGGGTTGTCTATGTAATTATAACAATATTTTTTAAATTTGTTGGTAAAAATCTGGTTTATTCATGTTTTTGTCTAGAACTTTTATTCAAAATTATCAATGTGTTATTTTATGTTTGGTAAATATTTATATTATCAGTTACGTATTGTTTTCTATTTTTAGATATGCCTCGCGTGTACGTATCAAAGAGTGCGAATTTAGGTGCTTACTCTCCCATATTACAGAATCCTTTGGGACTACAATAATGTCCACGGTAGCGTGGTCTCCGTCAATGTTCATTCGGAGTTGTCCGATTGCGCTGAACTAATTTTAAGTGATGTAATAGATGTTTTTTTTTATTGTCTTACAACTTACAGGACAAATCTGTCGCGGATCATTTCCCAAGTAAATATAAATTAATAATAAGTAAATAAATGTAATCAAGTTTTAGTTATATATATCACTTTGTTGGTGCAACTAAATAAATAAATAAATTAAAACCAAGTAGTGCCAACTCTAGCAAATTTCTCATTTCGTCCCAATTAACCGCAATTTCCGGGTAAATAGGGATTACACCTATTTTTGCTTTTTTTGCTTAAACTGGAATGCTAGTTGCATAGTTTTAAATTGGATAACAAAGATGCCGTGCTTTTTGGTCGCTCGCCAAAGCTGCAGAAGGAAACTTTTGCAGGTCTAGTCTCCCACCACTGCGCAAGTCCGATGACACTCTGGCCCACAGCGCGAAAGAGAAGGCTGACCTTCTGGTCAAACTCTTCGCCTCGAACTCGACTGTGGACGACGGGGGTGCCACTCCACCGAACATCCCCCAGTGTGATAGCTCCCTGCCGGATATCTGCTTCACACAGTGTGCAGTTAGGCGGGAGCTCCGACTCCTGGACGTCCATAAGTCGAGTGGGCCAGATGGCATCCCCGCAGTGGTTCTGAAAACGTGCGCCCCTGAGCTGACACCTGCGCTAACGCGTTTGTATCGCCTCTCTTATTGCGCTAACAGGGTTCCGTCTTCATGGAAGACCGCCCACGTCCACCCTATCCCCAAGAAGGGTGACCGGTCGGACCCGTCGAGCTATAGGCCTATCGCGATAACTTCCTTGCTTTCCAAGGTGATGGAGCGAATAATAAATACACAACTCCTGAAGTATCTTGAGGATCGCCAGCTGATCAGTGACCGACAGTACGGTTTCCGTCACGGTCGCTCAGCTGGCGATCTTCTTGTATACCTTACTCACAGGTGGGCTGAAGCCTTGGAGAGCAAGGGCGAGGCTCTTGCTGTGAGCCTTGATATCGCGAAGGCCTTCGACAGGGTCTGGCATAGGGCACTTCTATCGAAGCTACCATCTTACGGAATCCC